AACAATCAAGGGTTAAAAGACACTCTACACCAGTTGCAAAAATGGAACCCGACTCTGTCACGTTAATATAACGCGAATCTACCAAAAAACTACACACAAATCCCTATCAACCGGTGGAACATTTAATCTATCCGGCCAAAACCTCGGTTCTTTCGCCTATGAAACGCGAACACGTCCACCGCACGACCCAAATTACCCCCAGTGAATGTCGAAACGGTCAGCATTCGATTTGATAGCCTTATCGCGAATTATTCATGATGCACCGTGATATCTGGGAAATTGTCGCCGAGGCGACGCCATGATCTTGTTATAACGAGTCGCCGTGCAAACCTACGGTACATCACAATCGCTGGATGATAATTTAATGTAACGACGCGCGTTAGTGCGCCGATCGCAAATGAACGGCCGGCTGGTCGGCGTTCCCGTGTTAACGCGCCTACGGGAACAGGCCGTGGGGGCATATTTGACACGGAGCAGTCATGGATCGGCAAATCATCGAATCATCGGCGGTGCTCGACAACGTAACAAGTCAACAGGCGGTCGTTATGTATATTGACGTATACTTGCCGCAGTTGCGGCGTCGATGCCTGTTTCTATTGACAAATACCCGTCGCGGGGGCGATGATGCATTGCCGTACACGCGCCGTCGGAATGACATGGAATGCGTATTATCGCGACAAAATGAACCAACCTCTAGGAATTCGAATGCCTCCCGTCGATATTGCTACAGTCGATACACACGACACAACTCCTCTACCTGTGTACAGTCTGTTCAGTTCGCAGCTCCATCATTTTCAAAAACAATTTACAGACTGCCTTAACGCGTTCATTGTCACTGTTCAGATCGATGAACTCTCTGTATTTCCCATCGAGTGTATTTCTCTCTTCTTCTTCATTTTTATAGACAGTTTAAACACTTGGCGTTACGAAAGGAAGAGAGGCGTAAATTTAGAGAGAAATTGTCATGCAACTGACGGTGCAACAAACAAAGAGAGGGGAAAAAAAGAAGGTGAAAGAATCGACGGAAGAGCAGATATCGCGAGGAAGGAAATCGTAAATTCGCGACGACACGATGAAGACGCTAGAGCCCGATGGAACTCGGCTGTTTGCAACGTGTCAGCCGATCGGCATGAAAAAAGGAAAATAATCGAAAAGGAGGGAAAGAAAAAAAAAAGAGAGAAAGAGGGGAGGGGGAAAGGGGGGGGCGATAGCATTGGCGACGTCGAATTGAAGAATCGACGAGGACAATGCGGAGTGGCGTTGAAGTGGCTGTGACGGATGATAGGCGGCACGAGGATCGCGGTAGATCGGCGAAAAGTGGCGGAGAGAAGCACGAGTCACGATACACAACGTGTAACAATGGAGCCAATATCTGTAGAAAGGTGGTGCTCGTAACGTGCACACTCGACGCGCTTGGAAACAAATGTCGTACCTATGCGTGACAACCCTTATTGCGGCGAAGAGGGGGTGTGTTTGCGAGCTGCGTGTTTATTGCTCGACCTGGCAATAATAACTGGTTATTATTCATTACTCCGGCTCGCCGTGGTTTGGAACGCACGAACGTCGCAGTCAACTACACGGCGACGCGAATCACTCTTTCTCTCCTTTCTCTCTCTCTCTCTCTGTCTCTCCCTCTGTCTTTCTCTCTACGGCGTGTTCTTTTTTTTTTTCGAGACTCCTCTCGAGCCGTCGAGGACACGACGATTCGTGAAATATCGCACTACGACTCCCCGCTTTCACCCTGGGGGTGGGATAACAAAAAAAGAGAGATCGACGCGTTATAAACTACCGGAGAATTTACGCTACGCGAGAGACGAAGGAAGAGAGGACACGACACCTTCCTCTCGAACATTTGGAAAACATTATCAGACGTATCTGATCGATTCCGGAGCAATTCGCAATGCGAAATAATCGAGAAGAGGGGGGAAGGTAACACAGTCCCCTTGCGACACCTTTATCAGACGTAGATTCCATTCGAACACGTCGAGAATGCATTACAGAAGCTGCTATCTTTTAACGTAGGTGCAACCAAGTGGAAGAAAAAAATATGTATATATGTATATACATATATATATATAAAGAGTCGCGTCGCAAACCTGGAGCATGAATAAGCCAACGGGCAAAGGTGTGGTTCCCAGGCGTCCACGGTAGGAAATCGCTCACTGGGGAAGAAAGATGGAGAACAGAAGCCAGGAGCGAACCAAGACGTGATTAATATAAAAGTGGGCGGAGCCTGGTCTGGCCGGAAGTAGCCGAAGAGGGATGCTGTGCCGTGCCAAGCAAGCGCGAAAACGGGGGTTATAGTGGCACAACTGTGTGTTGGTACACTGTACCGTATGTATCTTCATCCTATGCGGCTGCATACACACACCAGTCTAACCTCTCCCGCCACTGTGTGTGTATACAAGTGCCGGCACGCACGTGTGTGCACACACACCCACACACACGCGCGCACACACCGAAACACACGTTTCAGGCCAAGTTGGAAGAGGTGAGAAGATGGGCGAGGTTGGGGGGGGGGGGGGGGGATGACGCGAAATATACACCACCGATTGACAAGCAACACCCTTTCTAGCTGATCTGGACGTTCGATGGAAGTATTACGAAGAAGGCGTGACAGTGGCTTTCGTAGACGACGATACGATCATCACGATCACGCGCACCAGACACCACGATAATAATTATTCGAACAACTCGATATTGGAGAAGAAAAAAAAGAACACAGTACTATTGGATCGTCCAAACAGAAAAAAAGAACAACACTTCTCTATCGTTTGCGATAGAAGATCGTTGTATACGTCTTGGTGAAACTTTAGCGAAGTAAGGCCTCTCTAGGTGAGACGACGAAGACCTGTCAGAGAGCAGCCGTCTTTGAATTTTGACGAAATCTTTGGTCAGCCAAAGGGACCAGAAGCAGATGGCTGCACGGCAGCACAGGCAACCTTGGAGGAGCACTAGAAGACGGTGGAAAAAGAGAAGAGAGAGCGAGGATAGTAGTGGGTGGGTTAGTTGATTGGCGAATATGGGATCGAAGGGAACCCGACCGATCCACAGGGGTTTCGGAGACGCGGGGTGCAAGGGTTGACGCGCGGGGGTGGCCAACCCCACCTACTTCTTTAACGCCCCCAAGTAGGGTAGGACCGCCTCCGTCTCTGCGTTGTTCCACCTACCTACACCCCGGGACTTCTGCAGTCTCATACCTACACCACCCATACACACCGTCGTCTCCTCTCCCATAGCTTCGTCTACTCCCATTGACTATATCCTTCGGAGAAAAATCACCTCTATTCCCAGGTAACACCGAGCGTTTCACGATTGAAGCGTAACTGCCATTACCGAAACGTTGAATATACCAACCACTCTTGGCTGCCGTATACTCTGCTGTTTCGGATAAATAGGGGAGGAGGATTCAGACGTTACGGTTAATCGATGATTTCAGAGCTATCGAGTGACCGATGTTATTTTTTTTTTTTTTTTTTTTCGAAATCGAAACAATTTGGATACGTTGAAGGTTGTTAACGGTAGATAAATTACGAAGGAATTGAAACGGTATAAAGTGAACGGTGTTGGAATAGAAGTAGAGTTGTTGAAATAGTTGAGCACCAATAACACAATGATTCATATCGTCGTATTATATCTCTCAAATCTCCAGGCAGCGTCAAAGCAGCCCATTAGCTGCCAAGATTATTTTTAGGAAAAATGCGTTTTGCCGGAAAGATTTCTGTACTAAAGGCAGGTACGCATTTAGTTACTCGAGCGTAGTTAATCTTGGAACTGTGTAGCGAGATTTATTTGACCAACCATTCTGCTTGTCCGGTGCACCTATTTGTCTTGTCAGGATCGTTAAAGTGTCATTTCCACGAATATCGCCCGAGTCCGCTCAACGTAAGATCAATCAGAAAATCCCAAAGCAAAGAGCCATTTATCTGTATTATAACGAGACACGTTATACTACCACTAACGTTGAGCGACAAAATACGATAAGTCTAAAGTTGGGTTTATTGAAATACTAGACCCTTATGATCCGCGTTAACTTTTGAAGCGAGGCGAGTATCGTGCGTATCGCCCAACGTTTCGTGTAAATAATCGACGCCGCGTTCAACGTGCACAAATCGATCGTTTATGCGAAAAATTTAATATCCATTTCCGTCACGATCTATTTCCTGCCACACGACGACCTAATTCCTCGCTAACCGAAAATCACTTTGCCTGTCATCAAAAATGCAACGATAATTTCAAGTATTTCCGTGCTAGGTGCCGATTCTATTCAATATAAATAACGTCCCGCAAAAAACCGATGTCTTAAAAAGTGACACATCGCGCGCGCGCGCGTGTGTGTGTGTGTGTTTGTATTTACACCATCTGATCGTAATGTATGCACCTATGACCCTCGATATTTCCCTGGTGACGCGCGCGAGCGTCGAGACGCTAAATTCCCCGCGACAGGAACGAAACAATTCGCAACGAAGGAGCACAAAAGAGGGGAAAA